CGACGTCCAATGACAGCTGGAGCTGTGTTGATTGAGGCTGGCATTCCTTTTTCGAGGCAAATAGACAATTAACAGCGTTTCACATAGCCAGCCAGTTGATTTAAGCCATCGCGACGATTAAAGCGCGCTTGCCGCCAAGCCACCATATTTAGATGATAATTACGCCGATAATCGATACAGCCATCCATATCTCCCTCGACTGGTCAGATGAGGGCAAATTCTGTTGCGGACGTGTATCATGGGCGATTAGCCATTCGTTGCGCATACAGAACGAACGCGTGGATTGGTTTGCGCCAGCAGGAGCGGCGAATCTTCTCCATTTGCGTGATGCCACGATAGTCACATGACAGTTCGCAAATAAGCTCCCTCTTTCCTCTCTCAGATAAGCTGCAGATGAGAAATGATGTGATATTAACAGTTTGATCTGATGCTTCGCAGTGCGTGATTTTGAAACTAGCGGAGTTTTGCCTTGCGTCGCCTACCGTCTCTGTACCCTCGGCCGTTGCGGACCGTTCACAGGTACGCGCTGGCGTGCTACGAATGCGTTCGGCGTTGAGGCTCGAGGCTCGAGGCTCGAGGCTCGAGGCTCGAGGCAGAGACACGTGCCACGTCACGTTTGAGAAAACGCGTACGGAGCTGTGCGTCCGGTTTGTAAGTCGAGCGCTGTTTAGGCATCTGCAATCCCACGTCAACGGCGTTATGACACACCGTGTTCGACAGTCAGCGTCCAGCACCCAATGCAGAACAGCGATCATGGCACAGGATTAGTTCACGTTCGGCGTTTTCTGGAAACCTACGAGTCGAAAGGCTGCGGCGACCTGCGAAGCATGTACAACTCTGGTTCGAAGGATGACCTCCATTGGAGTACGTAGCCTCGTTTTTATACTCATCTACTTTTGTTGCGACGGCGCGACGTCCATCAGGTCTTACCCACCTGTCTCGGCAGGACAAACCATGATTACATTTACTTACTTACAAAAAAAGAGCCGTGAATGTACTCTTCGTTACCTTGTACCTTTCTAATAAATCATATCAAGTTTAAGTCAGCGTTTCAAACCTCCAGAACTAAAGTCAGATATTATCTTTCAGCTTCTAACACCGGATTTACACGGCGAAAACAATGAGGTAATGCGATTAACTTTACAACAGTACTGCAGTAACAAAGTCTAATCCGTTATTCGTTATCCGACTTGCCTTCGTCATAAATGCGCCATGGCCGCAAGCAGACGCTACTCTAAAATTCTTTGTCTTCCGCTTTCTACTTCCATCTTCGACCATTTTATTCGACCATCATCGCAGAGGGTTGTTGAACGATCGATTTGACATTGATGGCCCAGCGGTAGCCAATAGTAATTCTTGACATCCATCGGTTGTCTCTGTAGGTAAGCCCCAGTGGGCTCATCTTCTTTCGACCTCAGTGAAGGTAGAAACTGCCTCTGTCGATCCCAAAGGGGCACCTTGCACATTTTCACTCCATCGTTCTTTGCGTGACGGTCAGTTTATTTTCCTCAAATTCAATAGCACACCAACATTCAGCGCTCTTGAAAATGTGGCTAAGACTGCCGAATCGAACAGTTCCTTCTTCGTCCCTAGGAGCAACTCATTTTCTAGCTATGATGCTTTAGGACGACTAAGGCTTTATCACGCCGCGTTCCTTCTTCGGCTGATTTCCCCGTCTAGCAGTTCATACGGTCCACCTTACGACAAGAGTGTACATAAATAGTGACTTCGGCAACTCCATTCTCGTAGATTCTGCTTTAGGGACAGTGCTCGTTTCACGTCCATTTCGACTTGGAGAGGCTAAGCTCCAAATAGATGGTGAGTGAGAGGCTCTTCTTGTAATTGCTGTACCTCACGTTGAAGCTCCATCGTATCTTGCGTTTAAACGATGTAGTGACATGCAAATCACATATGCGTTGTCTGTTTTCCCGAAGAGCGCTGGTGAAATAGTATCCTCGCACTCCTCTGTGGATACTGATGCGACATGTTCGCTGAGCAGCTGAATATCAGTGGTGCAACCTGTTTTCAATTCCTCAATCACGTTGATTACACCGGATCTATGCCATATTGATGCAAGGCATTTAGAACAGTCGTGAATTATAACGAACCGACCGCCCTCTTGTAGTGGATAAAGGTAGAACAAAATGATATATAATGTTCGTTTCACTTATGCGTCAGCTGCTGGGTAACAAGTATATGGTCGATGGTAGAAAGCACTGTACGAAAACAGGTCTGTTCCTGACTTATGACTAGCACAAGATCATTCCGAATAGGTTGTGAATAATGCGGGTGATGACTGTAGATTTGAGACAAAAGTATAATTGGTTGATAGCTCTTGAGGTGTTCAGAGTGTCTTTTCTTCATGAGAAGAATCGTTCTAGATGTCTTCGCACGTTAGAAGTCTTGTTTTGTCTGGCGTGTTCCGTGGAACGTTTGGTACAAGCTGCAAACAGAAATGCTCTTTCAACTTTAAAGTGTTTTGATGTTATATCGCCTTTGCTTGAACATTTCATTATCTTCATCTTCCGTGGCCGCTTCTCCCTTCGGGTCGCGGATCTGGACATTTTCCATTTCTAATATTTCTGATTCCCCAGTCAACTTTGTCTCAGTGGACTTCGAGAACGGCTTTTGGGGTAATTTTTGGTAACTGACGATTCACGCCTACTTTGAAAGAGTACAGTATGTTGTAGAATTATGTGCAGATCACGTTCGTCCAATTAGGAGTAGTTCCTCTTACTCCTCCGTCTTTCAGTGCACTCAGAATTTGCTCATTTAGGCGAATATCTCGTTCCATCGCTTGCAGGCGTTGTTCCGTTCCGTAGCCCCTCGTAATCTGTTTTGCAGTCTTTTTTCAACTCTTTTAGTATCTCTTTGCACAATGCAATGAACAATTCCTCCATTTTCCCTTCGGCCTTCAGTTGCTCTCTTCTACCCATTAGCTGCCTCGTTGAAAAGCTAATGCGCTGGTTGCTCGGCGACTTTGTTGTCCGGCTTGATGTCATGAAAGTAGGCGCTTCTGGCTGATGACATGGAAACAGACATCACCGTTCCCATCATTAACTTAATGATTGCATGGCTGATAGAATTGATTCCATCAGGAGGGTGTAACTTTCTTTCGTTTTCCTCTGAGGGCAGTTTCGTTGAGTTGAGTTCAGGCGGCAATGGTATTCAAAGGAAACTAATGTACATTTTAAGAGTTCTCAGAAATAGTGGTTACTGTAAGCGATTGACAGGAGAAACAATCAACAGTCGACAAAGTAAGAGTACAAATGCAATAGCTGAAAATGAGAAACAAGATGGTAACACCAGCATTGTTGTTCCGTCATACGAAAGCTAAGCGAGAAGCTGCAATGAACTGCTCGTAACCGCTGAATACGGCCAGTATTCAGGCCCAAAACATAATTACTGAGTCACTGACGCATGTAATAGCCACCAGCACATGTGGTCACCCGAAATGGAAGATGGCAGCATTAAATATGACGCCCTAGGCATGGTACATGTCACTGAATCTGTGTTTCCGTCACCGTTAGTTTAGACATGCATAGCGCCAGTCCTACTACAAGAAAGATATATTACCATTCATGCCCAAGCTGTTTTGATCCCGACGGTTCTTCACGTAGCCTGAAAATGGACTTATGAATTATGAACTTTCTGAAAAATCTTCTTACAAACGTTATTGATGACTTTTCATGATGTATGAACTTTACCGATTGAAGCAACGCGCTGCAGCAGTATGATTATTCTAATTAGTATAGCTTAGATTTCTTGCCAAGTTCTTAGATTTCTCCTTCTTAGTCGGTTAGTAGCTCGGCTGAATGAACAAACTGACAGTCAAAAGATATTGAGTGCAGGTTCCATCGGAAGTTTCTAGCACATTCTTCTGAGTTTAGCATTCCACAGCATACCGACTGTATGTGTGAAAGAGATGGACAAACAGACAGAATGTACAAATGTGTTTACTACAGAGATGCAGAGGCAGCTTTCATAAATAGCGCACTGAGGAATGCTATCAGGACCGCGAGGTTCGCGAAAGAAGGTCTCCACAAACGAAACCAATCAAACAACTATTACGGAGGAGGTATTTCAACGAAAACGTCCTTAGTCATTTACATGCCCTCGATTGCCAGTAAAACGGCGGCACGCATGCAAGTACTGTCACAACTAATTACCCCTTTCCTTGACCGCTTCTCCTTTTGGCTCGCTGAGGCAAACGCGTCAGACGGTGCTTCCCACGCTCCCGATTCTGTGCCAGAGTCAGAGCTTCGACAGAAGACAACTCTAGTCTGGAACAGACTCCTTCTCTGGATTTGCACCAGATTAATCTTGATCGTCCTCTGGGCCTTCTGCCGATCGGATTTGCAAGGAACAGTTGCTTAGCCTTCCTTTCTGGAGGCATTCGCAACACATGCCCAAG